CCCTTTTTATACTAATGGCTTTAATTTGACTACCTGTGCAATCATAAGCTCATTTATGGCTAATAATTTTACCTATATATATCAATAGTCTAAAGAGTTATGGAAAAAATGTTAAGGGTGGCTCAGCCTGACTGAGTGATTTGATTGTAAATAATATATTTCAAAATATATTCCTTAACTTGTGACAGACCTGAGGTTAAATTGGTGAACATTTCTAGTGGTGACAGGGCCCATGATGGAATTTTACACACACAGGGCAGCAAACAGAAATCTTAACTACAACACCATTAAACAGGTCCTTAAATAATGGGAAGAAAAGGTCTAGAAAAAATATCAGGTCTCAAAAATATCAAATACTAAATTCATATCTTATTAATTCTAATATGTGTCTATAGTTTGTAAAGGGCAACTCCCTTCTTATTTTTTTTTAATGTAGGCACACGGGTCTGAACCACCAGGTTTCGGAAAGAGCCAACCCGCCAGGCAAAATACTAAAATGTTAGCTATGTGTCAGGCGTAAACAGGAAAGAATGACAAAGTGGTTAATAATTTGTTGTATTTTTGTGTTTTTGCCTTGCGAAACAAATAAATGCCAAGGCACAAATCTACCACCATATTATTTTCTTATCTGTCCAAAGACATGTACATGCATAAATAAAACTGTTTACTATTTAGGGGAGATAATTATGTGTAACCAGCCGGATAGCTCAGTTGGAAGAATGGTATTCCGAGAGTTAGCTAGGTGTTCGAGTCCCTTACATGCTGAGACATTTCAATATATATTAATATGTTATTAATAATAAGAATACATGTAGAATTGGAAGTGTCTGTCTGCATATATGCATTTATAGATAAGCATTTTTCTGCATATAAATTAAATGTATTCAATTGTTTTAACACGTAGATATACTTATTTACAGTAAGCAATACAATCAAAGCTGTGATACCACCTTGATTTTTGTTAGTCAGTATACTTCACCATGTGAACTTACTGTTGACCTATTCCACATTTTAGGTTTACAGAAAATTTTCTTTCTTTGACTTTTCTTTACATATTTTCTGTTGATTGTATTTATCTCTGCACCTGTATCAATTTGAAAATCAACTTGCAATCATGTTTGCTTTTATTTTGGATTTTTGGCCTATTTCGACACATTGTAACCAAAATTCATCTTCACTTGATGATTCAATTTCAATTGAATCAATTTTGTGTATTTTCTTACATCTGTTCTATGAAATGATGTCTGCCGCCACATCCCTCACATAATTTACCCCAACCCAGACACTTCTCTTTTCTGAAATCGTGATTTATATCCACAATATTAAAATTGTGATCGATTCTGATGTGGACGTTGTTGTTTCTTTACCACTGGTGGTTTATACTGACGCGGTTGACTAGGATGATTCAACTGTTGTGTTGGACGGGTGCCTGAATGAGAATAAGATGAATATGTCTTCTCAACTTTGTGGATTGGTTGATCATTTGTAATGCGAACTTCTTTCACATGTTTTATTTGATTGTTTGTAAGCTCGGCATATTTTGATGGGTCCGTATTTTGATTGCCTTTTCAAAGCCAAGATTTTCTTCTCTTATAGTTACAGCAGTTCTTGTTGTTTTCCGTTGCTGCTAAACACAATTTTATCTCTAACTAAGCATTCTGTCTTTCTGTGTATCAAAATTACAAGACTCAACATGCTTTCAAAACTATGTAAGAAAACTGTCAAATGATGTATATTCATCTGGATTTGTTACCCAAAATCTGTGTGATTCTAGCACTTCATTTTTTCTTGGATTGCTATAGCTTTCTATTTTGTCAAATTCTTTGTCCACTTTCAGTTTATGTTCTGCATTTGCCCATGTAAATTGATCATAAATCTCTATAACTTTAGGTCCAGCACAGTGTAATAGGATATTTACTTACAGTATCTTTTCATCTTCCAGTTGGCGCTTCCATTTGATAAAGTTATGTGATATGTTACCATTTTCAACATCTTAATGTCCATGGGGTCTAAACGTATCTCATAATTTGCCATGATTGTCAGTTCGAATAATACCGATTACGAAGGCTAAGTTCGAATATTGAGTACGAATCCTTAGTTCGAATAATATTGAGTAGGAATCTTCCCCTTCCAGAAAATGGCTTTCGGCCGATATATTTCACCTAAGTGGCAGAAATACTTAACACTGCAAGTGTGCAACAAATAATTGCATATTCCTCCGATGCCACCCTGTTGATAGGGTTCTATTATATGCAATTATATGACAATACGTTTTCAGAACGTTAACTGTTATTCAATTCATACAGACGCTTACAATGTTACATACCACTTAATAAGATATATATCTGTATATGCTCGTTTTGTAAAACAGAAAAAATATGCAAGTGTAAATTTAAGAGTTAATAAGGTTTATTTGTTTGATTTAATATTTATTTTGGATGTTTGACATATTTTTATACAGGGTCAGTCGTAATTCATTCATTCTTGCACGCGCATGCGTGGATACAAAGTTTGAAGTGTAGGTGTACACAAAGCTTTTAAATAGTAAAATTCATATTTTTGGCTTTCATGTTTAAAAATGTTTCTTTAAACTGAAAGTGCATAGTTTTGAACTTTTAAAGCTTATTGACAACTATGCAAACAATATTTTTAATAAAAAGGGATCTAAATGTGACAATCCTGCAAAATGAGGATCTACTTTTAAGGAGGTTTCATCCGAAAGTGGATGTTGTTCAGCAAAACAGTCGACCCTATTGGTTTCTGAAATGCAGCTATAACTCTGTATACATTGCAAGCAATGTATACAAAAACCACTGATTGCCACTTGAGCAGGTACAATTACTGAAGGAGGAACTGTTGCATCTTAAAATTTAGTGGTAGACTAGATTTTCTGGTTTTCCAAGACCATTTGTCAAAACAAACAGCTGCCTAAATGTTCAATACTTTAAATGTTGTTCAAGGCATATAAATGCTTTATATATATACCTTCTTCCAAACATGTTATTGTAAAGTGCATTACGAAATAACGAAATAGAGTTACGGAATATATACATGTTTTGTGAATAAAAACAGGATTTTTAATTGATATCAGTTTTACATTTGTACACATTTTAGCCTGTCCTTACATTTTTGTTATGACAGAAAAAGCTGAACAGTTAAAGTAAGATTTATTTTAACAATTGTAACACCTTGAATGCTAGCATTTTTTCCCAAATTGGCAAATTTCACAATAACCTTTTTTTCCAAAATATGGAAAATTTTAGGAAACAAATTTCCCAATTTTGCCATGTGGCGTTTTCCCAAAATAGAGGAAAAAAGTCCTGGAACCTGAGATACAGACAGCATGTTTATACTCACAACAAACGTGGATTTCCAATTTTTGAGCAAATTATGCTTAGATTCAAACTCATAATTTCAAAGGACCATACTTTCAAGTCTTTGCCAAAACTAGAACTCCGAGGGTCGGATGTGTCACCTTGTGAACAGTATAGTTGTAACGTAAGCATTTTCTTCTTAAATGTAGGTTATTTATAAACACTGCTAAATAGGCAATAACTAAAAAAAATAAGAAGTGCAGAGTACCAGTTCTTGTGCACTGCACTTCTTAATGAGATCTATCATCCTATGAAGATAATCAAGTCCATAGCTTTTATAGTTGAAGAGAAATGGCCCTGACAAATTAAGGTATGAAAATTAACAAAGGGCAATAACTCAAAAACCATGGAGTACAAGTTTTTGTGCACTGCACTTCATCTCAATCCTATGAAGTTTCATGTACAAAGCTTTTATAGTTTAGGACAAAAATAAAAGTATGAAAATTAACAAAGGGCAATAACTCAAAAAAAAAAAGAAAAACAGAGTGCCAGTTCTTGTGCACTGCACTTCTTCTTAATGAGATCTACCATCCTACGAAGTTTCAAGCCCATAGTTTTTATAAATCATGAGAAATGGCCCAGACAAAAATAAAGTATGACAAGATCTGTCGGAGGACAGTAACGCCCAACTATTCGAAAAGTTGTCACATGGGTGTTTCATTGAGTATAATAATGCTTACCTATATGAATACACAAAATTGTTCGAAAAGGTACAAACTCTTCAGTAGTTATGGAGATACCAGCTTACAAGCAAAAATTTACCTAGAATTTCTAAGTCGAAAAAGGGGAATAATTATGCATAAAAGGCAATCAGAGTTATGGGACTTGTGCCAATCATCTTAGATAATCACAGAGACTAAGTGTGTAAAGTTTCAATCCATTCCCTTCAGTAGTTATGGAGATACCAGCTTACACGCAAAAACTTAACCAAGAATTTCTGAGTCAAAAAAGGGGCATAATTATGCAAAAAAGTAAATCAGAGTTATGGGACTTGTGCCAATCATCTAAGATAATCACAGACAACAAGAGTGTGAAGTTTCTATCCATTCCCTTCAGTAGTTATGGAGATACTAGCTTACATGCAAAAACTTAACCACAGGATCCACAGTCGAAAATGGGTGACTGCATAGCTGATTATTCTGCGAATAATGAGCTAAAATCAAAAACGCATAATTCAAAATAAGACATAAAACGTTCTTGTGCACTTCTAATAAATATCATAACCAAAAATTAAGAATGCAGAGTACCGTCTTTGCACTGCCATTCCTTCAGTAGTTATGAAGATACCAGCTTACACGCAAAAACTTAACCACAGGGACGCCGACGCCGACAAATGGGTGACTGCATTAGCTCGATTATTCTGCGAATAATCGAGCTAAAAATCAACAAACGGCAATAATTCAAAAAATAAGAAATGCAGAATAACGGTTCTTGTGCATCTTCTTAATGAAATATCAATAACTCAAAAATTAAGAAATGCAGAGTACCGGTCCTTGTGCACTGCATTTAGGGTTATTTAAAGAAGCATGCATACCAAGTTTGAAGTCAATCTGACTTATAGTGACTGAGTAATGCTCCGGACAAGCTTTAGGGGAGGCTGCCGACACCGCCAACAAAAGTAAGCCCTATATCACACTCACATTATCTAGTCTTGGAAAATAAATTAATGAGATCATGGAGACAGCATAAAAACAAACCTATAACAGAGCAATCACCATTGTAGGCGATACGGCCCTTTACACACTCACAAACTCCGTCAGTTGTATCACATGTTGAATGACTAACTGTACAATTAGCATCTTCTTTGCATGATGATCCGACAGCTCCTGAAAATAGTTAAAAATGATAAAATTTAATATATGAGTACATATATTAAATCATAACAGTGACTAAATTACAAAAATGATTATAAAAGATTTCAGCTATATTTGAATGAAAACCATGCCCCAGGGTGACCTTGACCTTTGAACTCCAGATGGATCTTCCATAAAGAAAGTGTCAAGGAGTGTTTCTAAGTTGGCAATTTGCTCATGAAGATGCATATACATGATATTAAGTTATTTTGCTTTGCATTTCCCATCATAAACTATAACTAGCTCTTTACACCTATTATATTGGACAAGTATAACACATGCACCGTATAAACTGTTCTTACACAAGCATAAATTGTATGTCCATGTTTTAATACATATACCTTAAAACACTAGCTTTGTTCCACGTTTCATTGTCAATGCAAAATGTATACACAATGACTAATGATTATTCTAGCAATATTTTACTGTTGATTTTCACTTGTATTATTGGACAAGAGGCTTCATTTTTAGCTTGACTATTTGATCAGAATAAGTAGAGCTATTGTAGTCAACCGAACCACTTATGTGAAAGTTTTTGTAATACCTCAAATATGAAGAAATTTTGCACACTTAATCACCATGATGACCCCATCCTGTAGACAGGAAGAGGTAACTGTACCAAACATTTTGACAGAATTATGCCCCTTTTTCGACTTAGAATTTACATTTAAGTTTTTGTAATACCTCAAATATTTTCAAAGTCCATTGACATGTGGCTTTGAAACATTGCACACTTGTTCACCATCATGACCCCATCCTGTAGACAGCTTCCTATCAAGCATTTGGCAGACTAATGCCCCTTTTTCAACTTAGAACTTACGTTTTAGTTTGCATACCACCTCAGATATTTTCATATTCTATTGACATCTGGCTTTGAAACAAGTTGAAATTTTATACTCTTTTTTGAGAGCATTATAGGACTCTATCTAAGGCCTATAACTGTAACATGGATTTAAAGAAAAATTTAAGAAATTTCACATTATTAAGGCTCTTTGACTATGAAGCACCTAGAATAGTCGAGCGTTGTTGTCCTACCAACAGCTCTTGTTCTACTTGTCCTGCCAAAAATTCAGCCAAATACAAACACTGACAACTAGAAGTTTTAATCTGATATATGTGATCCCCTAATTTTCAAATGGACTGTTCTAAATTTAAAGCAGAACAAATCAATTACACACATTCAGCAGGTTTGGGTTACCTCTATTAGAACAAAAGGGTGATGTCATCATAATCCTTAGGCCACCAGTAGTCGTACAAATATATTTTGTCTAATAGGCTCTAAATTTAACAGTATTTAATTACATTTATACTTTTTGATATTGTGACGTCTACTGTTTATCATTGAACAAAATTTTAACATTTCCAAATTCAAAGCAAGTTAAGTTGATGGAATTATATATGAGCCCCGTCACGACAAAACCAACATAATGGGTTTGTGACCAGCATGGATCCAGACCAGCCTGCGCATCCACGCAGTCTGATCAGGATACATGCTGTTCGCTATCAGTTTCTCTACTTGTTATAGGGTTTGTAAGCGAACAGCATGGATCCTGATCAGACTGCGCGGATGCGCAGGCTGGTCTGGAGCCATGCTGGTCGCAAACACATTATGTTGGTTTTGTTGTGGCGGGGCTCATATATGTCACATTAAAGCCTGAAAAAAAATTGCAGCGACACTCTAAGTTAACAATTTAAAGCTTGAGTAAAATGAGACCAACCTTCCTTTAAACATGCAGTGCCAACCCCCTTGTATCCTGCTGTACAAACACAAATTTTGCTACTGCACTCTGTGTGAGCAACTTTACAACTATCATGTGTTTCACAGGCTCCTCCAAGTTTTCCTGGAAATCATTGGGAAAAAAAAGTTTCTTTAATAAACAGTTTTTATTCTGGTAAAACAAGAAATGTCAATTATGTTAAGGTTGTGACCTTAACTGTTGTGACTTAAGTCTAATTACCCCTGACTACATGTTTTTCATAGGGGTATTATAGTATCTAAAAATTATGGTTTGTAGCTTCAACTTTCTTGACGCTATGCTGCTTAAAACATTAATTTATTTGAACTTAATTTGTAGAAATATTGCAATGTCGGTCCAATCTTTAATGATTGTAAAATGCACCTAAAACATTCCTGGTCACTTTCTCTGTTGTCTTTTTGTGTTACATGTTTATATAGCAATACGGCATGCACTCTGTATTGAGATCAAAATATACTGTTGGTCAAACTAAAGATATGACTATATATTAGTTTTGATTAAATAATCCTTTAATTCAACTTCTCGCTGTTTATTAAGTTAAACATATATGATAAGTAATATGATAAAGTAAAACATTAGAGGTTTTGACTAGTAATGTGAGATTCATCAGGCAATGACCTGTCTAGAATATTCTTAATTTGATTCACATTGTAAATAACATGTTGTAGCCTCTAGCATAGATTGATAACTAAAAAAAAACAAAACATTAAAAAAAGCAACAGACCAGATGTACCATTAACAACTGCAAACAATGAAACATTTGATCCACCACCTGGTGGGGGGGGCACACTCAACTTTTTCTTATTTTGAAAGCCAAACTCATCAGTAAAAGAATAATTTGAATATTATAGTAAAAGGGTAGAGATGCATACCAGTATTTGATATAAACAGGATACTTAAGTACTACATGTATAACTGAATCATAGTCAACATCATCAATTCTGTGTCATCACTTATATTTCACAGTAATTGCATATTTCCATGTGACAGGTGTTAAAATGTTAATATTGGTAAAAATTTAGTCATACTCCTTGGAACACCTTGAAAATTCATTGACTCTGTGAGTGTTTGAAACAATCATCATTTTTTTTTAAATATTGCCTGTAGTCTCAAGTGTTAACAAGGTTTTTTTTCCAAATTTGAGCTCTGTGACCAATCAGTATTGAATTTTAGCTTAAAATCATCTACACAACCTTTCTGACCAATTGTTAGGACATTAGGATCGAAACAGTTGCCTCTAGAGTATTTACAAGGGTTTTCCATTTATGGGCTGTGACCTAGATTTTGACCCCAGCTGACCTATGTTTGAACTTGAGCTAGAAATCATCAAAACACTTTATCTAACCAATTTCCAGGATACACAGGTAAAAATGCATCACATGTTTCTTTGCCACACCATATGTTTTGGAAAACATGTGTTTAAAAATATAATTGTTTTTCATATGTAAAATAACACATTTTTAACCAGGACCTATTGAAAAACATATGTAAACAAACATTTGTTGAACTCGAGGTTATCACATGTTTTTCATATGATGAATTTATGGATTATAAATTTTGTACGCTTTGCTCTTTGAGAGAGTCTCAATTAGATTCTTACATGATTGTACACAAATTATCAAAAGATTCTTGGTTCATGCATCTATTGCAATATTCAAGGACAGCCCTAATATAACTAGAACTATCACTAAATGTGATTAATACCCCCGCAAGACTGCTTCTGAAACTAGAACTGCCACTGTCATGGCGTAAATACCCCGGCATACCACTTTGTCAGAATCAACAGTGGCCATTTAGAGCTCAAGGACAACCTAACTGCAAAATCTCAGGTTACTTGAAGCCAGTACATTGCTAAGTTATGTATTCTACATGCTTTAAATGTGAAAATGTCAAAATCAATACACTGCGCAGTGCGGACAGGCATTCTTAAGCATTTGAGCAGACAAACTTATCATAGTAAAAATCCCTGTGACCTTTGACACAGTCAAGTCAAAATCAATAGGGGCCATCTACTAGTCATAAACAACCTCAATACCAAATATGAAGACTGTGGGTCAAAAGTTTCTTAAGTTATTGGGCGGAAAAATTTTTGAAGTCAAAGTCCCTGTGATCTTGACCTTTGACCCAGTGACCTCAAAATCAATAGGGGTCATGTACTAGTCACGACTAACCTCCATGACAAATATGAAGACTGTTGGTCAAAGGAATGTTAAGTTATTGGGAAGACAATCTTTTTTTAGTCAAGGCCCTGTGACCTTGACCTTTGACCCAGCAACCTCAAAATCAATAGGTGTCATTTACTAGTCATGGCTAACCTCCATGCCAAATATGAAGACTGTGGGTCAAAGAAATCTTAGGTTATTGGGCGGACAAGCTTTTTTTAGTCAAGGCCCCTGTGACCTTGACCTAGCAATCTCAAAATCAATAGAGATCATCTACTATAGTCTGTCCCATTAAAAATGGAAATGAACTTTTGCCTCGTGTGAATTAACAAAACGAGGTTGAATAAAAATTAAACTATTTTTGTAAACTAAAAAAAAGTCACCCTCGAGATTTTTCAGGATTTTTCTCTAAAGTGTCTAATTTTCTTGTGAAAGCAAATTTTGATTTCTCTATGGTAAATCTCTGTTGTTTATTTTCCGTAGCCATTGCCGAAGTACTCTTCATTTGAAGATGAACGGGAGAAAGCACGTGTTATGTTTCTAAAATATACATGAGGTTCTCGGGGTCGTTTCATGATTATTTTACAAAGCTGGATCTACAAGATGTAACAGTTTAGTTGCAATGCATGATGGAAAACTTTAAAAAATGAAAAATAAGCAACAAGAACACCGAGTCACACGGAGTAGGAAAAGAAATTGCACTTACTTTTAAGCTGAATAGAATCCCTATGAATTTCGAAATAGATCTTTATATGCACGTCACCACAAATTCGCATTCTGAAGATTCCTTCATTGCAAGTTTCTATCCAGTTCCGTAGCTTCAAAAATCCTGCATGACATGACTCCTACACTTATGATGATCCAGATTTTTTTAACTGTTAATCCGTCTCTTTATTAAAACATTGTTAATTTTGTGGAGTTATCTGGGTTAGCAAATGAAATATGTAAATGAAACATATCATAATTCAGCATGTTCCAAATCCATAATTCAAGAACGGCCCATCAATTTTAGTTGTTAACATCACAATGTTTATAACTCTTGAAAATGGATTCCTGACGAAAAAACATTATTACGTCAACAACAATTTACGAAATATATGACGTAACAAAAATGCCTCGCGCTTCCAGTTGCGGCATTGACAGAGGGCGGTTAGGCCAATGTAACCTCAAACAAATAATTTCAAGCGTTGAGATAAATATGCCTTGATTGCATTTCAAATAATTTTTGTAGACCCAAATGTTGCAACTTAACTGTAAAAATGACACCTTCAATTCATATATTAATAATAAAACTTTCGATAACATTTAAATAATTTAAACTCACTTAATGACATGAATCTATAACAGTATAACACTTCTTCCATTAATTACATATAACATTCGTTTTGATTTTATGTTTTTAAACTATTTTATATATTTCTCAGAAATGATTTCCCTACATATTATCCCTTATTATTAAAGACTTCTGTAAATCCTACTCTTTAATTTACAAAATATACAATACGCGTTTTTTTTTCTGCCGCGAAAAATATGCTAGATCTATTGTTTTTCACTGAATCTTTTCAAAATTTAGGAAGGCTAAAATTATTGAGGTTCTCTTTGACTCGACCTCCCCTTCATATTAACATAATAATTATATGTAACACTTTGAGTCTGCAATAAAAACCGCACTTATTGTCGCTTATTGAACACTCCAATTCAAACTTATTCTTAATAATATCAAATCACTGCCGGTATTTCTGGACATTTTGTTGAATTGTGAGACGGAAAGTTAAATCTGTATTTACGAGCTTAAAGTGTATAGGCCTACGTTTGATTGCTCAAACTAGAAAGCATGATATTATATTCTTATAATTTACATTTTCCTCGGACGCGAATCTGTGTTCTCTCGTTAGCGAGGGGGTAAGTTAAAGTAGACACTGTGGTAACAAGCAAACCAATGCTGAACGTATAGTGAATCAGTTCTCTTTTCTATATATTTCTTGTCAGATTTGCATGATAATGCAGTATTTGTTGGCGATTTCTTGTGAAGGAAAGGTTTAGCACCGAAATAAGAAGGGTATCATATTTTTGTATCTCATCGAACCTGGTCAATTTTAATTATTTTTGAATAGACGTGACTCATACTAATGGACAGAATTCAGACAACTACAGAATTATGTAAATTAAACATTAATTAGCGAATAACCATTTTATAGTCTTCTTGCTAGTGTTCCCGCTCCCATTCGACGCGTTGCGGTATTCAAGATACGCGCTTGATTGAAAAGCTATCTAATCAAATCACTTCGTTGTTCTTTTTCTCTTAAAAAGAATATAAAAATACGACAGTATAAAATACGACAGTATATCATGGTAATTATAGAAATATTTGTGTGTTAGAATTAATAAAGCGGTTACTGATATTTTCACTTCAAATGATTTTGATTATTTTAAATAATGGTTTGCTAGTAAAATTGTCTATTTGACACCAACTTTGTTTTCATTTTTCATTTTAATGAGAACATTTAGCTATTGATCAGTAAGTAAATAAGAATAATCATTTTTTTATAATTACCGAGTACATTTCACGCTAATTGTGAGACGAACCCTAAATGACGTCTATATGGGCGCCGCCATTTTGAAATGGACGTCACGTCAGATACGGGGAAAAATATAATTTTAACATTTCGACCATATTAATGACTTTATGAAAAAAATGAAAAACATGCCTAGAGATATTGAAATCAGGGTTAACATGACATTAATTTAAATGATTTTACTATTATATTAAACAAAAAATGGAGTATTCAAATTTGATGGGACAGACTATAGTCATGACAAACCTGCATGCCAAATATGAAGACTGTGGGTCAAAGGAATCTTAAGTTATTGGGCTGACAAGGAAAAACCGACGGACGGCAGGACAAGCTGATTCCAGTATACTGTATACCCCTCTTACAATTTTAGTTGTGTGGAGGTATAATGAGGATGTTACTAGTAACAGAAAACCTTGTAAAAGAATTGAAACAGAGTTAGGTTGTGGGCAATTAAAGATAGTTGTGGTTCTTGTATGTTGCATTTCCTTTTAATGAGTTTATGGATATTGTAGACTGCACTTCCTCTCATTGCGCTTGACCATTGTATGAAGTTGTATTGAATTCCTTCTACTTGTTTTCAAGTTATGCACTGGACAAAAAAACTTTCAAAGGGCAATAACTGTATTTAGTCCAAATACAGTTATGGTTCTTGTACACTGCACTTCATAAAGTTTCATTGAATTCCAAACATTAATTTTCAAGTTATGCACTGGACAATAAAAAGTAACAAAGGGCAAAAACTTTCAAATGAGCCAAGAAAGAGTTATGGTTTCTGTGAACTGTGCTTCCTCTCAATATACTTGACCATTGCATGAAATAGTATTGAATTCCAACTAGTAGTTTTCAAGTTATGCTCTGGATAAGATAAAAGCAATGGAAAAGTAACAAAGGGCAATAACTCTATAATTACTCTGGACAGAGTTATAGTTCTGCACTGCACTACCTCTTATTGTGCTTGACCAATGTATGAAGTTGTATTGAATTTGAACCAGTACATTTGAAGTTATGCTCTGGACAAGGAAAAGTCTCAAAGGGCAATAACTCTGTAATTTGTCAAAATGGAGTTATGGTTCTTGTGCACTGCACTTCCTCTCGATGTGACTGACAACTGTATGAAGTTGTATTGAATTCCAACCTTCAGTTTTCAAGTTATGTACCGGACAAGGAAAAGTAACAAAGGGCAATAACTCTGTAATTAGTCAAGATGGAGTTATGGTTCTTGTGCAATACACTTTCTCTCAATGTGCTTGACCATTGTATGAAGTTTTATTGAATTCCAACCATTAGTCTCCAAGTTATGCTCCGGACAAGGAAAATGCAAGGGACCGCTGGACCGACCAGACAACCGTCCACCGGGTGACTCCTATATACCCCCAAAACTTCGTTTCGGGGGTATAAAAAGCAATATGGGGATAATAACCAACAATTTAAGTACCACTTAATAAATCATTTTGATTCCTTCAAACAAACAACAAAATTAGCAACATACCATCGTCTACACAGGCACCCTTATATGCCGTGTGTTGAGCTGTACATACACACACATTAGATGTACATGATTGATCAGATCCAGAACAAGTGACTTGAGAGGAACATGCAGCACCTAGCAATCCTGAAATATTGTTGAAAGGTATATATGAAAATCAGTGGCATGTTACATAAAGTGTCAAAATATTTAAGAGATAGATTAATGCCATTTTTACCGGAATAAATGAAAACAAAATCATTGTACCCCTTCAGATAAGCAAAATGACTGAAGAAAATATATTTTCAGTTTAAGAAATATATAAGTATTAAGTAATCATAATGTACATGTAGCCGAGGAGAATTTTTAATGAATTTAGTACTACAAGAAAAACTATTTCTTTTAAACATAAATTTAGTACTTCAGAACGTATCAATAAAACGGTCTGCATTTGATAGTGAGGTTTTGAGTTATCTATAAGATTTTCCAATCATTTGTAACTAATCAAGAGGAAAAATGATACAGTTAAAGTTCGTTCGCTCGAACTCGGATCGCTCGAATACCTCCCTTCGCTCGAACTCATCGCCCAGTCCCGGCAAAATTCCTATATAATATATATTGTTCTACCTCGGATCGCTCGAACACCGATCGCTCAAACTCTCGAACCTGATCTCTGGTCCCTTGGGCAGATATATAGTGAAAATCACACCTTTTCGGTCGAATACAAAAAGACAAAGCGACATGTCCTAAATAAATGACAGTCATGACACATGTTTTTAACACCTCGTGATCGTGACAACGGCAATTAAGGTTAATTGAAACAAAATAAGAGGTGTTGTTACCGATTTGTTTATGATAATATTGTTGATTTGCAGTTTATGGTAACGATAAAAAGAAAATAACTCGTGAAATAAGTGAAATATGCAAAAGTCAATCAACCGAATGACGTTTACCCGGACGACCTTAATTACAACAGTAGTGCATGTAAAGTGAATTGTAACAGTGTTATCTTTTAATAGATTGATACTTGTTTGTGTGTTTATTTTAGTAAATGACTACAAATAAATGCTGCTGTAAAACTTTTTCTTAAATATTTCATTACTTTATTTTTTTAAATAATTAATCCTATTATAAACATATAAATATATTTTGAACATTGTTCAACAAGTTTGGTCTGATTGCTCAATCGAACTCAACCAATTACAATATGCATGAATATAGATTAACACAATGTACCGTTAATACTTAATTGAAAACACTTGGATAATAATTTTGAATATAACATATTCGACGAACAGATGTACTAACAAACAATTATATTGACGTATTTATCATTTGACCAATGTATGCTAGAAAACCTTTAGACATTTGATCAACGTAATAATAGTTCGACCTCGGTTGGCTCGAACTACCGATCTCTCGAACAAATTTGCATAGTCCCCCCAAGTTCGAGCGAACGAAGTTCGACTGTATTTATCTTTAAATCTAACTTATACCTTGCATGTTACACTAAAGAGCTAAAATTTGTGAGCAGCAAAATCATGTACAGTATGTCTTTTTTCCCTTTGTTTCTTTTGTTTCTTTTCATATCTTTACCAAAATTTACAGATAATAAGTGGACATTTTTTATCTTTAACTAACTTAAATATCATTTGACAAAACAAAAACAATATGACAATGACCTGGGGTGACAACACAGCTGCCACTATTTGGTGTATATCCATTTTTACATGCACAAACTCCACTGGAACACTTTAGATTAGAGTTTGCAGCACATGCAACTGACGCTGAACATGATCCTCCAAGTGTTCCTGAAAATTGCAAAATATAAACAAACATAAAAGTTTGTTATTCAATATTTATAAACACCTTATAAATCAATAAAAGGCTGATCTGAGTCTGAATTGAAAACAAGCATAATCATTGAAGGCGTCTTCTTGAAATACTGATCTTTCTCTTAAATAGGACATTGCCTCCCCACCTTACCTACCCCCCCACCCCACCCCTCGACCTAAAAATAATAGAAAAAATATCAAATAACATAATGTGAGTCCTTTTTTGAAAACTCCAAGAATTTTTATTTTCAAGGTGACCTATTCAAAAATGGCAAAAAAAAAGTTTAGGAGGAAAAAGCACTGATAATATAAATAATAAGACTTATTAAATCAATTGTTATTCTCATTGTAATTTCTGTTTTGTATGTTCCCTCAACCTGATGGATTTTGGTAATTTTTGGTAAAATCAGGAAAAAAAACATACCCAAATTGAAATGTTATTTTTAAGCTTAAATACTGAATGTAAACTGTTTCAAAATTTATGCATCCTTTCTTTTTTTATATAAAGATTAAAGGGTAAATACAAACTCCAAAACAGTAACTATATGATAATGGAGTTGTCATACTTGGCCCCAACAACCTTTTACAAGATTTAGTCTGGACAAAAATTATGCAATAGTCTACTTTAGTATCTCTATTACTGTCTATACAGAATACAAAATTTTAAGTGTGAAAAACTCCAATTTTAAACATGTAAAGATACCTCCAGAAGAACTAATTCTTTCTTTATGCTAGATGCTAAGCTTCCTCATAAAAAAGAAATTCACAACCAGGCAGATGATTTGCTGCAGAGACTCTTCTTTATATATGATGATGTTGAAAGTTAAAATGGTGAGATATATAGAGGAATTATTGAATGAGTGCAGGTTTAAATTACTACATTTATTAAACAAGTTGAATAAAATCATATCATGTGAGCTTCATGTAACACTAGTATAATATTGCTTTTATTAAATTGCTTTATTTCACTCCTGCAACGCAGTTTATGTGATTAATATGTTCATATTTTTACATACCATCATGTACACAGGCACCGTTGTAGAGTGTATTGTCGGCTGCACACACGCACACTTTATCTGCACTGCATGCCTGATTATCACCACTACAATCACCGTCTACAGTACACGTCCCTCCTAATAGTCCTGAATTATATCAATTAATATTAACCCTTTCACTGCCATAGGGACGGCATATGTCGTCCCTATTATTTTCAGCGTATTTGCCATATGGACGTTTTTTGCCGTTTCTATAATAATGATAATATTTATAGTAATAATAATTATAATAATAATAATAATAAATATATAGATAATTATACCATCAATATTATTATTATACTAGCAGATTTGGAAACATATATAATTATTATACTACTAACTAGAACTATCACTAAATGTGATTAATACCCCTGCAAGACTGCTTCAAAAATGAGGAAGTTACAGGTCACAGAATACCTTGTTAAAGAATTAAAATAGACTTATGGTTGTGGGCAATTAAAGATAGTTGTGGTTTTTGTATGTTGCATTTCCTTACAATATGGTTGACCACTGATGAAGTTTTATTGAATTACTCTGTAATAAATCCAGAAAGAGTTACGCTTCTTGAGCACTGCACTTTCTCTCAATTGTATGAGGTTGCATTGAATTCTAAACATTAGTTTTAAGTTATGCACCGGACAAGGTAAAGGAACAAAAGGCAATAACACTTCAAATACTGAAGATGGAGTTATGGTTATTGTACACTGCACTTCCTCATATTTCCCTTGGCCATTGTATGAAGTTGTATTGAATTCCAACTACTAGTTTTCAAGTTATGCACTGGACAAAAAAAGTAACAAAGGGCAAGAACTGTAATGAGTCAAAATAGAGTTATGCTTCTTCTGCACTGCACTTCATCTCACTGCCCTTAAATGAGTCAAGAAAGAGTTATGGTTTCTGTGCACTGCCCTTCCTCTCAATATACTTGACCAGCGTTTGAAATTGTATTGAATTCCAAATAGTACTTTTCAAGTTATGCTCTGGACATGAAAAAAAGCAATGGAAAAGTAACAAAGGGCAGTAACTCAATAATTACTCTAGACAGAGTTATGGTTCTTGTGCACTGCACTTCCTCTTAGTGTGCTTGATGATTGTATGAAGTTGTGTTGAATTTCAACTAGTAGTTTTCAAGTTATGCTCCGGACAAGGAAAAGTAACTAGGGGCAATAACTCTGAAATTAGTCAAGATGGAGTTATGGTTCTTGTGCACTGCACTTCCTCTCAAATAATGCTTGATCATTGTATTAAATTGTATTGAATTCAAACCAATAGTCTTCCAGTTATGCTCCGGACAAAAATAAGCAATGAAAAAGTAACAAAGAGCAATAACTCTGTAATTACTTTAGAAAGAGTTATGGTTCTTGTGTTCTGCACTTCCTTTTATTGTGCTTAACCATTGTATGAAGTTGTTTTGAATTCCAACCAGTAGTTTTCAAGTTTATGCCCCGGACAAGATAAGTAACAAAGGGCAATAACTCTATAATGAGTCAGATGGAAAGTAATGGTTCTTGTGCACTGCTCTTCCTCTGAATGTGTTTGACCATTGTTATGAAGTTATATTTCAATTTCCCAACCATTAGTCTTCAAGTTCTTGCCGTCCAGACAAAAGAAAGCAATGGAAAAGTAACAAAGGGCAAGAACTCTGAAATTTACTTTTAATAGAGTTATGATTCTTGTGCACGGCACTTTCCCCTTATGGTGCTTGAACCATTGTATGAAGTGTTTGAAAGGGTTTTTGAATTCCAACCAGTAGTTTTCAAGTTATGCTCCAGACAAGGAAAGGTAACAAAGGGCAAATAATCTTAATTTCATGACAATAGAGTTATGGTTCTTGTGCACTGCTTTTCCTCTCAATGTGCTTGACCAAATTTATTTGTATGAAAGTGTATTGAATTCCAACCATTAGTCTTCAAGTTATGCTCCAGACAAGGAAAATGCAACGGACATCTGGACCGACCGACCGACTGACTGGCCGACCACCAGGTGACTCCTATATACCCCCCACAAAACTTCGTTTTTGGGGGTATAATAACAAATAATAATGATTGTATTAATAAATAATATAGTAATTTCTTAGAAAACCTTCTGGCAAATAGGTGATCAATAAATAAGTAACCCTCTGGCAGCGAAAGGGTTAATTCAATAAACATTGGTAGAGGGAAAGGGTTTGGGGACGGGTCACATTCAGGGTTCATTAAAACCGTGCTAGAACCAAAGTTCCACGACTATTCAAATAATAATTTAAATCAATTTTACATTATACCAGTAGAATTTGTGGAGCTGGTAAGCTTCAATATTTATAGAGATTTAGACTTTCTTTCGTCTTCATGTAGTACAAATAATAGCAACAAATTTGCTACTACTAGAAATGGGCTTATCTTAAGCTAAATTCATAACATGGACAGTACATTTTATTCTAATGTTTTGTGCTCTAACAACAAAAACTGGTTCAAGCGAGGCACACGTATTTGTAGCTTTACTGTGAAGTAAAATGTTTGTCAACTTCTCAGTACGACATGTATATATGTCTTGACAAAAGATAATATAAAGAAAAATTCCAAACATGTCATATAACAACAAAAAAATACTAACCATCAGTTATTTTGCATGCACCAGAATCTGCAGTGTACCCAGTTCCACAGGCACAGACATTAGATGTACAAACTGCATTAGTTACCGTGCTGCAGTCGGCATCAGTGGAACAACCAGCCTCCAACTTTCCTGAAAGAATATTATCAAAATGTAAATTCTGTGTTTTTTAGAATTCTAAAACAAATTATAATTATAAAGTTAAATATATTTGCAGTAGTTTTATTTTACTTTTTTGAACTAAAAACTAGGCCGTACCTTTAGATATTCTAATTTCCCCTCCGGTGACTCAATTGCTACAAGTACATCTTTCTCAAATAATCTTATTGAACAAATAATTTATAGCTGATAGATATAAATTTTAAAAAAAACATGTGAGTCAATTCTTAATGATAATATTTTAGAGTTTGTTGAGCATACAGAACTTTAATACTATAAATAATATCCCAGTTTATTATTTACAAAACAACAGTACCAGACATCAACCCTTTACACAAATAAAATGGAGTTTCTAGATTTTCTGTCACATTGTATTCTATCAAACATGCCTTGTGTTTTCAAAAACTCTTATTCAAGACTTTGACTCAACATCATCCAGGCTATGTTGACAATTTAGTATAATAATTTGTGTGACCAATAAATTTATGTATTATTCATAAATCAATATTAAAACTGAATTTATCATATGATTAATAATTATATACAGTAGATATCAAAGTTAGGGCATGTGTACAACTTAACATAATCAGGTTCAATAAAGAAAGGGCTAGGTTCTCGAAGTACTGAAAATTGCTCTATCATAGAAACTCTTCAAACTTTGCAATATGATTGTCCCGGGAAGGCTTGAAAGTAAAACATACAAATTTTGGTTTTCAAAACTATATTTTTGTTTCCATGGCAACGCAAAACAGAATACTTAAAATTATCTTTTTTCTCCATTTAGGTAAATTTCTCATTGAAAGATTCACATTTGTTTCATTTATTTATTTGAAAAAAATTTTTTTTTTTATTAGTTTCTTACAATGAAATTCAATTATAATCTCCATAGCAACTATTCTAAACATAACAAGCAAATTCGTTGAATTTATATCCCCCGCCGAGTACTGGTTATTATTAACACAACAACTGAAGACATAAGGCTTTATTTATATATTAATCATGGCATAAACAGTAATATTCTTTGAACTTGATAAATATTCAGGGCAATAACAGAGCCATAACTTTGTGTTAAATAGTAAAATCTGGAAATGCCAATGAGATGTATGCATACTACATAACTAATCAAGGGCCATAAATCTGAGTTATAAGTATCTGACTGGAACAAGGCGACTATATGCACATCTCCTCTTAGTATCCCATAAAGTTTCATTGAATTCCAGCCAGTAGTAGCAGAGAAGTAGCGAGGAAACAAATATTTTTCTATATGGATACTGCATAACTAATCAAGGGCCATAACTCTGAGTTAAAGTGTCTGACCGGAACAAGCCGACGATATGCACATTTCTTCTTGGTATTGAAGGTTCCCATAAAGTTTCGTTGAATTCCAGCCAGTAGTAGCAGAGAAGTAGTGCGGAAACGATTTTTACTCTATATGCATACTACATAACTAATCAAGGGCCATAACTCTGAGTTAAAGGGTCTGACCGGAACAAGCCCACGATATGCGCATCTCCTCTTGATATTGATGATTCCCATAAAGTTTGGTTGAATTCCAGCCAGTAGTTGCAGAGAACTACTCCGGAAACGATTTTTACTCCATATGCATATTGCATAACTAATCAAGGGCCATAACTCTGAGTTAAAGTGTCTGACCCGAACAAGCCGAAGATATGCACATCTCCTCTTGGTATTGAAGGTTCCCATAAAGTTTTGTTGAATTCCAGCCAGTAGTTGCAAAGAAGTAGCGTGGAAACGATTTTTACTCCATATGCATACTGCATAACTAATCAAGGGCCATACCTCTGTGTTAAAGTGTCTGACCGGAACAAGCCGACGATATGCGCATCTCCTCTTGGTTTTACAAAGAAGATTTTTCAATTTTTGCTATAGTTTTACACATGTAGGGAAAATGAATGACCTCCGGGGTGGGGCCAATTTTGACCCCAGGGCTTTTATATGAACAACCTTTGTAGACAATCACTAGAAGATGTTTCATGCTTAATATCTAAACTCTAGCTATTTGGTTTTTTCCAAAGAAGATTTTTTAAGTTTTTCCTATACACATATTAGGAAATTTGGAAAATCAATGACCCCCAGGGCGGGGCCAATTTTGACCCCAGGGCTCTTATTTGAACAAACTTGGTAGACATCCATTAGAAGATATTTCATGCTAAATATCTTAGCTCTAGCTCTTTTGGTTCTTTATAAGAAGATTTTTAAGTTTTTACTATGTGCATATGGGGAAAATCAAAGACCCCCTGGGTGCGGGGCAAATTTTGACCCCAGGGCTTTTATTTGAACAAACTTGGTAGACACCCATTAGAAGATGTTTCATGCTAAATATCTTAGCTCTAGCTCTTTGGGTTCTTTAAAAGAAGTTTTTTAAGTTTTTACTATATGTATATATGGAAAATCAATGACCCCCTGGGGTGGGGCCAACTTTGACCCCAGGGCTTTTATTTGAACAAACTTGGTAGACATCCATTAGAACATGTTTCATGCTAAATATCTTAGCTCTAGCTCTTTTGGTTCTTTAAAAGAAGATTTTTTTAAGTTTTTACTATATGCATATAGGGAAAATCAATGACCCCCTGGGGCGGGGCCAATTTTGACCCAAGGGCTTTGATTTGAACAAACTTGGTAGACACCCATTAGAAGATGTTTCATGCCAAATATCTTAGCTCTAGCTCTCTGGGTTCTTTAAAAGAAGATTTTTTAAGTTTTTACTATATGCATATAGGGAAAATCAATGACCCCTGGGGCGGGGCCAATTTTGACCCAAGGGCTTTTATTTGAACAAACTTGGTAGACACTCACCAGAAGATGTTTCATGCCAAAAATCTAGGCTCTAGCTCTTTGGGTTTTTTAGAAGAAGATATTTCAAGTTTTTTCTTTTGGTTGCCGTGGCAACCAGAGTTCTGCATGGAATTAAGTTCTTTGAACAATTTTCAAAGGTGACCACCAAAGGAACATTCCTGTGAAGTTTGGATGAAATTGGCTTAGTGGTTTATGAGGAGATGTCATTTAAAGTAAAAGTTTACGGACGACGGAAGGACGCCGGACGCCGGACGAAAAGCGATCACAAAAGCTCACCCTGTCACTTTGTGACAGGTGAGCTAAAAAGTTATGATCCAGGTACAAGTTTGCGGACGGCAACGGCAACGCCGACCTGACTATAACAATACCTCTACTTTTTTTTCAAAAAAAAAAAAAGTTGAGCTAAAAACTGCATGTATTTTAACATAAATAATTATGTTTTGAATTGAAATTCAATTCTAATCTCTCAAGCAACCACTATTAACAATTTTAGCTTAACAACAGTTTATGTAGTGTACAGAAAGACTACTTGTATATTAACATAAATAATTATGTTTTGAATTGAAATTCAATTCTAATCTCTCTAGCAACCACTATTAACAATTTTAGCTAAACAACAGTTTATGTAGTGTACAGAAAGACTACTTGTATATTAACATAAATAATTATGTTTTGAATTGAAATTCAATTCTAATCTATATAGAAACAATTATTAATATTCTTAGCTAAATGGTATGATATATTGAAAACTGTTTCAACAGTTTATGTAGTGTACAGAAAGACTACTTGTATATTAACATAAATAATTATGTTTTGAATTGAAATTCAATTCTAATCTCTCTAGCAACCACTATTAACAATTTTAGCTAAACAACAGTTTATGTGGTGTACAGAAAGACTACTTGTATATTAACATAAATAATTATGTTTTGAATTGAAATTCAATTCTAATCTCTCTAGCAACCACTATGAACAATTTTAGCTAAACAACAGTTTATGTAGTGTACAGAAAGACTACTTGTATATTAACATAAATAATTATGTTTTGAATTTAAATTCAATTATAATCTATATAGAAACAATTATTAATATTCTTAGCTAAATGGTATCATATATTGAAAACTGTTACAACAGTTTATGTAGTGTACAGAAACTACATGTATATTAACATCAATAATTATGTTTTGAATTGAAATTCAATAATAACCTCTCTTGCAACCACTATTAACAATCTTAGCTTAACAACGGTTTATGTAGTGTACAGAAACTACATGTTTATTAACATCAAAAATTATGTTTTGAATTGAAATTCAATCATAATCTCCATAGCAACCATTCTTAAAGTTTTAAATAATTAGTTTCATATAAATATTTATGTTTTGAATATACAACATGTAAAAAAATAAATACATAATTCCCTTTATAGTTACTTGTACAATAAATATAGTTGCATGTTATGTATGATCATCACATATATCTTTTTATAACTTCATTTGTTCATCATTTCTTTTAATATGTTTGAAACTTACAGGTGGGTTTTTTTTGAAACTTGAGGCGGTCATTTCTGTCTTTATCATGCATAACAAAGAGTGTTTCTTAATTTTGAGGCGGCCCATAATGCATTTGAGACAGGCATTTTGGCCTCCTGCCGCATCTTAATGACAACCCTGTATTTCTGGGTAACATACAATGTACTATATGGGCATTATCACTTAAAAAAAGAGGAAAGCTGCACATCTATGATTACATGAATCAGTCTTTAAAATGAAAATATGCAGATCACAAAAATGATTCATAAAAAGGTAACAAAAACATACATGTTCATTTATGAGTAATTAAGTAACAGTGCATTTTAACTTCAAAACCTTCCACTTGCAGACTTAATCAAATAAAACAATCATTGGATACATCACTTCTACAATTGTTAAGTATGTAAACAATAAGTCTGACAATATTACTGGTATGATTCCCTTTACTTATTATTCCTCTACAATACTGTCTTCCGAGTCAGATGAATCTATTGGCTGCGGCATCTCGGCAGCATCATCAAGGTATTGAGTCCAGTCTTGGACTCCGTCCCTGTCAGAGTGCTGCCTAGATGTGCCTAGATACCAAATCACCGCAGCTACATGAGAACATGTTCCAACTGTCCATGCACCAGCCCTGCACTGGCAGTACCAAGCCTTGACATGGTCTGAATCATATTGAATCCAAACAAAATAAGACTTGGATGATAGATGACAACTTTGAAGCCTTACTCTCAACAAGTCTTTTGATTCTTTAAACACCAAAATATTCCAATCTCCATCAAGGTACTCTTGTGCACATGATGGGCAAAGTTTCATTTGGTAGGTACCAAGAGTCAAAAGGATTTTATCTCTCATTCTCTCTGCTACAAGTGTGTCATCTATTAAATCTTTGGTTGCATTTAGAGGTGAAAGATATTTGTTACATACAGGCACAAATAATGCGGACATAATCACCAATGTACGGAATTTGATTGGTAGGCAATACATGGTCAAGATACTTCCATCTCTTTATTCGAGCATTTGATGCTTCAACTACCCATCTGACCTGAAAAAACAAAATAAATATATCAATTATTAGAAACACATATGTGATTTAAAAATTGAAAATCAAATGAATTGATATATTAATTTTAAAGAAAGTTGGATATCATAACAAGAGCCACCGCGAGCGGGGGCAACGCTCGACTTTTTTACTTTTTCAAATATCAAACAAACAGTTAAAACAAATCTTAAAAAAGAAAAAAAAAAGGGTTTTCTTTTTTTATTCTTAAAATGTCTGTCCAGTCACACTTGTTATTTTGTTCAAGTATGAATACATGTAGTTTCAATAAATAATCTAAGATAAAATAATTCAAGAAAATATAAGCAAAATTTAATGATCAGACTTTGACAGTTTAAATGTCATTTAGGAAAATAATGTGGTAAATTATATACATGTATACCTTTGTTACGAACCGACTGTGGTTAGCGTCCATGGTTAATAATTGTTTGGCACCCTTCGTCATGAACTTTGGCATCTGTGCTTTTATTCCCATCTCCTCCAGCACTTGCAGGGAGTCACAAAATCCACAGTCAACAACAAATATATCATTTAGCTGAGCCCAATTTTTGATTTCCTCTCTATGTTTTTCCTTACTGCAATTGGTTTAAAATTCCTGAATCACTATTTTTAGAAATTGCAAGATATGGTCCTAATACAGAAATAAAGTATCCAGTGGTGCTGACTATTACCATAGGTTTAACAAGTGGCCGCCCTTTATGTACACTATAAGAATGTCTTTGGAATTTGAAGTTTGTACTTTTTCTAATATATATATGTATGTTCCATCTAATACAATTATAGCTTGGCTGGCATTTTTAGCAAGTAGTGACTGTGATAGGGAACGAGTATGGCTTTTTATAATTTTCTTCTCTTGATATGTGCTGGAAGCCAAGATATTTAGGAACAAGTTCAGAAACAAGCACTTTTCTGATTGTATGTACTGCTCTTCTTATGCTTGATTTAGATACATCAAAAAGTGTTGAAAGAATTTTGTTTGACAATCCAGACTTAAGTTTAAACAGAAATATACCCAGTGTAGTAATGTGGCTTCTAACTGGCGTATTTCTAACATGTTCTTCAGTAATAGAGCATAAATCTAAGAACTGTTCTTTGTTCAAACCTGTTAGATTGTACAAATCTTCATTTGAAAATGTATCAATATTGTCAAATGACATTCTTTTAGACGATGAATTGGGTATACACTGTCTGACATTATTAATAACATTTTCAATTGTAGTCAGACTCTAATGATTTTACGTTATCTAAAGCATTTGCTTAGAAACCATCACAACTGTTATTCAAGTGAGTGGGGCAACACCTACTGTCAGCTGTTATTAGGGTATTATGCTTCACAAGTGTTTCTGTTCTAAGTTTTGATGGAACAACAATTAATGAAGATCCTACTTTCTTACAAATAACACAGTATGAATGACTTTTTGAAATTGTTTTTAAGTTCAAAGAAACCGATGGTGGACTTAGCAAGTGTTGAATATCATTCTTTTCTGCTGCAACAGGAACAGGACATGCTGATTTTATGGATCTTTGGTTATGCTGAGATGGATATGCCAGTCGGCTACATTTTCCACATATGTAGTTAGATTTTGTAGTTTCAAGCATGAAGGTTTTTCTGAGATATCTAATAAGATGTGAATTCACAGGCCTCCTTTGATGTATCTTTAGTCTTTTCCCACACAAAATACATGGAGTTGGAGCCATACTAGAATAGAATTTAAACATTATAGGATTAAATTAAATAAATTCAGTGTCAATTGATACATCTAGTTTAATGAAAAAGATCTATGTTTAAAATTTCTCCATTATCAATTAAAAAGATAAGTTAAAAATAATTGATTATAATTGATTATAACTATTACAAGTAGTATTTCTTTGGTTACCACTTAACCAACACTAGTTTGTTTATAGAAATTATGAAAGTATTATTTGAATAGGAGCTATGAAATATTAAATCTAGTATGACATATATATATAAAAAAAAAAAAAATGTACCTCCATCATCTAGGTTTTGAACTCTGATCCTCTAACTTGCTAGTTCATTGATACATCCACTGCGCCATGATGGCTTTGGATAATCTGAGGAAGATGAATATAACTATATAATTATTCTACTGTGTATTTTTGAAATTAATTCACCCAGATTCATAGATTGTCATTTGATCACAAATATCTATTCCGACAGTACAACATTATTTCGTGTTGTTTTTTTTACCAAGTCATATTTAACGGACGAGAAGTAGGCTTATTGTCTGCAAGTGCAAGCAGATCAACACTTTTAACTGGCACTGCGAAAGAAAAAGAAACATGAAATAATAAAGAATATGTTTAACATACCTTTATATGTCTACGTACGTCAAGTATTTCAACAAATGCCGCATAACAATGAAAATGTGCACGTTGTTTATAATGAAGAACTGACAGTAAGAGTAGTGCCCCTTGCATCGTGTAGACTACTTCTAACGCATAACAAGTTTACACGGAATTTAATTGTCAGACTTCAGGATACATGCGAGTGAGTAATGAAAATATCATTAATGCATGTTAGTTCTAGCTACTGTCATTTGCCAAGTCACAACAAAACCAAATAGTGCGTTTGGACCAGCATGGCTCCAGACAAGCCTGCACATCTGCGCAGTCTGATCAGGATCCACGCTGTTCGCTATCAGTTTCTCTTCTTCTTATAGAGTTTGTAAACAAACATCATGGATCCTGATCAGACTGCGTGGCTGGGCAGGCTGGTCTGGATCCATGCTGGTCGCAAACGCACTATGTTGTTGGTTTTGTCATGACACAGCTCATTTATTTTATTTTATTCAAATAAAATTTACAAATACAATAGCAACCAATGAAAGGAAAGCCTGCAAACAAAGGCTTGTAATTCGACCCGAGTCACTCGTAACTTTGACCATCGGCCAAGTATATTACATCGAAATTAAGAATGAAGGCACTATTTCGACACCTTGAAATTTAGTTTGCCAATTAGTTGATAGATGTAAAGTATGTGTGAAATATCTAAGTGTCAGGAAAATGCTTCATATTTTTTTCCATTTAAAAATATGGCGAAAATGACGAAAACACGTGAAATGTATAACATAGGACTTTTTATTTCGTACTTTACTTCTTCCAGAAATGAATTTTAATAAAAATTTTAGACCATATTTAGAATGAATAAGTATCATGCCTGCGTGTTATGTTATTAGTTTTAGTCTTTGTATTTTATTAATTTGCTGGGCCAATTCACATGTTTCATGAACCTTAATAAGCCCTTTATCAAAATTAATTTATATCAATATCATAATAATAATATTATAGTGTATATTGTCAATTATTTGTTAATATAGCAAAATAGTTAAAGGTATATAATCAATAAAACAACATTAACAAGTAGAAATTCTGTTAAGGATAAGCACAAATAAGTCAAATCAGAGTCTGAAAGGACAAATGAACCCTCATTAAACATAGAATACACAGTAAAATCTGCCCAAAAATTAGCCAAATCAGCCTCAAATTAAGTCAAACCAGCCCAATACATTTTTATAAAGTCACATATCAAATATGAAAATCAATGTGAATCAATTCAGGATCAGTAACAGCAATGTCATAAATCAGTTCTTAATACATGTATAAGGCTAAACATACCTGTTTCTTTACATGTTCCTGAAGTATCTGTAAAACCACTCTTACAAGCACAAATCCCATTTGTACATGCTTGATTAGAATCACTTGTACAATCACCATCAATAGAACACCATCCTCCTAGTTTATCTGAAATATATTTGTATGAATAGAATATATATTTCACTAAAATCATTTAGGTTTGAAATGAGTTACATACATAAAATTACAAGTATTTATCGAATTATATATTGGTGTATCACTGATATTTATCATCGGATTGATGTATTGTCAATATACATTGCACTGAATTAATGATAGCCCTAAATATAGCTGACATAACAATCGTTCATCTTCTTTTCAGTTTTTATGCTTATTTCAAATATCCTAAATTTTTTATAACATTACTCCAAAAGGCCAATTGTTAATTTATATTTTTAAATGGCATTTGCATGGCTAGAAATTTAAAGTTAATTGATAGAAAAAAATAATGACTTTTTTGATGATCTTTAAAGAAACTAAAAATATTTTTCCAATAGCACATAATTTATGATGTCAAAACGAGGCAAAAAAATTTACTTATCACACTCAACAAGGATGACTTTTTGGCAGCGGACATGCAATTCAGACCATTCAATGTTTAGAGTGTCCCTAACAATAGGTAGATTGCAACAGTGCTTTATAAGCAGATGTAGATTACACTCTCAATTCCAAACATTTATTAAAAAATTCCATGGTTCCGAAGATTTTACTCTGCGTGCATGTACCCCCTTGCCTTCAATTATTATATGTGAAGAATTTATGTATACAATTGGCATACTTAGAACTGACATAAATGGAAAAATACCTTATATTGGGAGATCACAAAAACAACAAATAAAGAGAGAAAAAAATTGGAAATGTTTAAATCATTTTTTGGGAAAACCAGTTTTTTTAGCAATTGAAAATGGGTTCACATACTACACCTCTCTAGAAAAATACACTATGGTCCCAACAAAATTCTTACAAAATGCAATAATAAACATACTTGCAGAAATGCAATTTCCCTTGTATTCTGCGAAAGTCATTTCACATTCACACACTGCATTAGCAGTTACACATCTTTTTACATAAGTTCCTTTACAGGGTATTGTATCTGAACAGAATCCTCCTAGTGTTCCTGTAATTTGTTGTAAAATAAAATTTAAAAGCATTGTTTTTCCTCATAACTTAATCAAAGAATGAACATTTATATAGACAATAAAATCATGATAAAATGGACGGTACATAAAGATATACTATAAATCAAAGAACAGAAGTACAGTCAGTGCATTTGTCAGGGTTCAAACAGAAATCCTTCAAGCACTTTTCAATCGTTTCAAGGCCAATTTTGCATTTTCAAAGAGAAATGCCCAGAAAAAATTTCCAGCAAACAATCAAGTTTCAAACAAATACAGATAAACTTTGTTCAATCAAACTTGGATCGCTCGAATACCTCCCTTCGCTCGAACTCATCGGCTAGTCCCGGCAAAATTCCTATATAATATATATATATTGTTCTACTTTGGATTGCTCGAACACCGATCGCTCGAACTCTCAAACCTGATCTCTGGTCCCGGCAGAAATATAGTGAAAATCACACCTTTTCGGTCAAACACAAAAAGACAACAAAAATTTGGGTCAAAATGTTTAAATGACAGTCAGCAACACATGTTTTTAACACCTTGTGATCGTAACAAAGGCAATAAATGTTAATTTATACAAAATAAGAGATGTTATAACCGATTTATTTGTTATGATAATATTGTTTATTTGCTGTTTATGGTAAAGCTACAAAAAAAATAACTCATGAAATAAGTGAAATATGCAAAAGACAATAAAGAATGACATGATGTGTACTCGAACAGCTTTAATTACAACCTTGGTTTAAGTAATGTCAATTGTATCCAGGGGAAATTGACATCTTAAAATGTTTGAAGTCTAAATCCCCACCCTAAAGACAACCATTTCTGTCTAAATTCCCACCCTTGAGCCTGCTTGGTGCATCAAATGCCCTGGGGGTAGTGGAGAGGGTAACTATCTAAGAGATCAATCAATAAATAAAACTGTGAAAAACAATGAAAAAAATATAAGTACAAAGGCTTATCATTAGGAAAATAATGAATTAAGATTAATGGGCCTCTGAAGTATGGTAGGTAAAGTCCCAATGATTACACTTTTTGTATTTTCTGATCGCAAGATCAGTAAATACATAGCTAACATCCACGGTCTAACACAAAATTTCCTCACAGACCTAACAACGCAAAGTAGTTCTCACTCAAAACTGCTTAAAACCAGCAATTTAAAAGAAAGAATAATTTTTAATGTAGGCATTGAACGAATTACAGTGCATTAAAAGTTTACATTAGTCAATAGAAATATGAGGTTGCAATCACAAATTTCGCGGATGAATATCTTTTTTACCCAATGAAAAATGTTCGACTATTTCCGTAAAGCTTAATCAATGAAAATGCTATTTTTAGCTATGTCGATTACCGAATACTCCAGAGCGTAGTACACAAATAAATCTGACTGTCGAGTAATGGAATATATACATGTCGGACTGTTTTGGCGAGAAGATTTTCGCTAAATTATTTTCATCAGTGTTTAACAACAGGTTTATCGTGAACAAAATACCTCGAAATTATTAAGGCATACATGCCATAACGTCCCGGATGCCCGGGATTGTCCCGGAAATCAGATGTCTGTCCCGGAGATGTCCCGGGCATCGATTTGATCCCGGAAAAAAATCATTATATTTTGCAAAATTTTCATAAATTTTCTTAAATCAAATCTCGCACATTTCACCTCTCGATCATAAAACATATTCTGACCTGGTACACATAATACACAGGAACGTTGACACAAGTTTACAAGTTTACAATATACAGCCCCCCAATTATCGACTGTCGATTCCCCTCGGCAATAGCTTTCTTCATGCATCAGCAAGTTGAATTCGGCAGCGTTTAATGGTCGGGTTAATTAATGGTTTACGGCCCTTAACAATTATCGTTAATCCCCGATAATCATTAATTTTTAGATCAATCGCTAACTTGCCGAAAGTCTAATTATTACAAACAATGTAAATATATCTATCTATCAAATAAAAAATTAAAGGTGTCATTGCTGTGTTTCTTTTTATGACTGGAAGGATTGCATTACGTGACATGTAGTAATTATCACGACTTTAAAATAAAACGGGTGAAAAACATGGCTGCACCCATTCACCGGGTTTATAACTTACAACTTACTTGCTTTTAGGGAATAATAAATGAAATAAAGAAATACTATAAAATGATAAATATGTCGACCTAAAAGACTACTTATAAAACTAGTAAGTTAACTGTTTATCATTAAAATTCAGGAGAAAGTCGTACGAATTTAATTACGTTATACGATTGACACCCCACCAACACCCCCCCCCCCTTTCCCACAACTGCCTACACATCCATTATTGCCGCAATGAAAAGTGTCCCGGAAAGCTGTCCAAAAATTATGGCATGTATGATTAAGGATTACAAATACGAAATGAAAATTCTCAATTTTAGAATTACAATATATTTGTTTTTATTCACGCTACATATGTATAACTTCACTGTGGTGCAGAGGTAGCGCGCTCGTTTAGGGTGTGAGAGGCCTAAAGTTAAAATCCTTGTCGAGGCAACATTTTTTTTTGAAGTGTCTTTTTTAAGGAAGTTGCCACGATATGCAAGGATAAAGTGTGGCTGTAATAAAAAATGAAAAATGATTTTTGATGCAACTCTAAGCATGCAAAATTACATATGTATCAATCACAAACTGTTAAACGCAGTCGCTGCGTAAGATGAATAATAGTATAAAAAAATAAACTTATACAGGAAAGATCAGAAAATACCACAGAGCATGCAGCCCTTTGATTTTATATGTATCAATTTCAGTTTAATAACTTTGATAGTATTCAAATGATTAGACTTAGAAGAAACTTATAAAATGGGTATTTTCAAGTAATAAAGGCCTTTAAGGGGCATAATTCTGAAAATAATGCATCTTAGTATGGTAGTGGTAGTCCCACTAAATACATGTACATGTACCAATGCGGACACGGACGCATAATCGATGGTATAAGCTCTAACCCTTTACCCAATGAATATGTGTTTTAACGCATATGCGACCAGTGCAGATCCAGATCAGCCTGCACATCCATGCAGTCTGATCAAGATCTCAACTCTTTTCAGTCAAAAATTCTTTTATGGATATAAAATAGAAACATTGGAGATCCTGATCAGACTGCACGGATGTGCAGGCTGATCTGGATCTGCACTGGTAGCATATGCGTTTAAACACGTATCTATGGAGTAAAGGACATTTAATATTTATATTAATGTTATATTTTCCTAGAATAGTTTTGCTACAAAATAAACCTAGTAACTTTGTTTCTGACTCCACATGACCCAGTTTCTATAGGGATGGTAAGCATGCTGACCAAGTTTAACAAGATATGTTTGTAAAACATGTATGCCCCCTATCAGCAGCCAATTAGTCATGTGATAAGGTTATTATGCATGACTTCTGACCCAGTGATCAAACAATTAATAAGGGTTATAAAGTATCTACTGGTCATGACCTTGACCTTTGACCCCTTGACCCAAAACTCAATAGGGGTCATCTGCTGGTCACGACCAATCATCATACAAAGTTTGAAGTTCCTAGGCCTAGGCGTTTTTAGTAAATTGATCAGAAACCGTTTTTACCTACAAGGTCAATGTGACCTTGACCTTTGACCCCTTGACCCCAAAATCAATAGGGGTCATCTGCTGGTCATGACCAATCACCATGCCAAGTTTGAAGTTCTTAGGCCTAAGGGTTCTCTTATTATTGATCGGAAACCGTTTTAACATACAAGGTCAATGTGACCTTGACCTTTGACCCAAAAATCAATAGGGGTCATCTGCTGGTCATGACCAATCACCATGCCAAGTTTGAAGTTTCTAGGCCGAAGCGTTCTTTAGTTATTGATCAGAAACCGTTTTTACTTACAAGGTCATTGTGACCTTGACCTTTAACCCCTTGATCCCAAAATCAATAGGAGTAATCTGCTGGTCATGACAAATCACCATACCAAGTTTGAAGTTCCTAGGCCTAAGCGTTCTTGAGTTATTGATCAGAAACCGTTTTTACTTAAAAGGTCAATGTGACCTTGACCTTTGACCCCTTCACCTAAAACTCAATAGGGGTCATCTGCTGGTCATGACCAATCATCACACAAAGTTTGAAGTTCCTAGGCCTAAGCGTTTTTAGTTAATTGATCAGAAACCGTTTTTACCTACAAGGTCAATGTGACCTTGACCTTTGACCCCTTGACCCCAAAATCAATAGGTCATCTGCTGGTCATGACCAATCACCATACCAAGTTTGAAGTTCCTAGGCATAAGGGTTCTTAAGTTATTGATCGGAAAGCATTTTTACCTACAAGGTCAATGTGACCTTGCCCTTTAACCCCTTAACCCCAAAATCAATAGGGGTCATCTGCTAGTCATGACCAATCACCATACCAAGTTTGAAGTTCCTAGGCCTAAGGGTTCTTTAGTTATTGATCGGAAACCTTTTTACCTAAGAGGTCAATGTGACCTTGACCTTTGACCCCTAGACCCCAAAATCAATAGGGGTCATCTACTGATCATGACCAATCACCATCTCAAGTTCGAAGTCCCTAGGCCTAAGGGTTCTTTTGTTATTGATCAGAAACCGTTTTTAATTAAAAGGTCAATGTGACCTTGACCTTTGACCCCTTAACCCAAAATCTATACGGGTCATCTACTGATCATGACCAATCACCATACCAAGTTTGAAGTTCCTAGGCCTAAGGGTTCTTTTGTTATTGATCAGAAACCGTTTTTAATTAAAAGGTCAATGTGACCTTGACCTTTGACCCCTTGACCCCAAAATCAATAGGGGTCATCTACTGATTATGACCAATCACCATACCAAGTTTGATGTTCCTAAGCCTTAAGGTTCTTAAGGTATTGATCGGAAACCGTTTTTACCTACAAGGTCAATGTGACCTTGACCTTTGACCCCTTGACCCCAAAATCAATAGGGGTCATCTACTGATCATGACCAATCACCATACCAAGTTTGAAGTTCCTAGGCCTTAAGGTTCTTTAGTTATTGATCAGAAACCGTTTTTGCTTACAAGGTCAATGTGACCTTGACCTTTGACCCCTTGACCCCAAAATCAATAGGGGTCATCTACTGATCATGACCAATCACCATACCAAGTTTGAAGTTCCTAGGCCTTAAGGTTCTTTAGTTATTGATCAGAAACCGTTTTTGCTTACAAGGTCAATGTGACCTTGACCTTTGACCCCAAAATCAATAGGGGTCATCTACTGATCATGACCAATCACCATACCAAGTTTGAAGTTCCTAGGCCTTAAGGTTCTTTAGTTATTTGATCGGAAACCGTTTTTTGCTTTCAAGGTCAATGTGACCTTGACCTTTGACCCCTTGACCCCAAAATCAATAGGGGTCATCTACTGGTCATGACCAATCACCATACCAAGTTTGAAGTTCCTAGGCCTTAAGGTTCTTTAGTTATTGATCGAAACTGTTTTTGCTTTCAAGGTCAATGTGACCTTGACCTTTGACCCCTTGACTCCAAAATCAATAGGGTCATCTACTGGTCATGACCAATCACCATACCAAGTTTGAAGTTCCTAGGCCTTAAGGTTCTTAAGGTATTGATCGGAAACCGTTTTTACCTACAAGGTCAATGTGACCTTGACCTTTGACCCCTTGACCCCAAAATCAATAGGGGTCATCTACTGGTCATGACCAATCACCATACCAAGTTTGAAGTTCCTAGGCCTAAGGGTTCTTTAGTTATCACTCGGAAACCATTTGGTCTACGGACCGACGGACCGACAAGTGCAAAGCAATATACCCCCTTTTTTTCAAAATGGGGGCATAATTATGATTGAACCATATCTGTGGCCTCTTAGAGTGTTAAAACACTAAAAGTTGAGGACACCTGAGACTTGCAAAGACAGACATTCACCAATCACAATAGCTTCGTGCTCACAGCTCAGGTGAGCTAAAAACTTACAACACTTCTTATTTAATTTTATCATTAAATTTAACACAAAAAGTCATTAAAAAGGACATTCTTCCTCCTTCTGCGGTCAAACCTGGACACCACTTCCACATTTACACCTGAAATAGAGGGCATTTTTATTACCTTTAAGCGCGTGTCAGACTTTATTAAGGTCAGTGTTCCCATTTACGCACATATGTGCGTATTTTACGCATAAATGCCAAATTTTCACGTACAGAAATTTAGGCAAGAGGGTAAAAATACGCACAGAAAGTCGGAAACTTAATCATGTATAATTCAAAAATTATTATTTTGAGCAATTTCTCAAACAAAAATCACTTAAAGTGCATTGAAATTGATGAAATGTGAGAAAATCTCCAAATTCGAAATGAAGTTGCCAGACCCCCCACTGGGAATTATTGCCGTAAATTACAAATTTGAAATTTTTGTTTTATGATGCCTGTAAGAATAGCCGATGAAAACAATCTTGAAATATTAAAAAATATTAATTCTAATATAATTGTAATCAGCAACAACTGGAATTGTGAATGTTTCTGCAGAAAACAGACACATTTTCATTTGTCACATATTTTCGCGATGCCAATTTTGTTATCCAAAAAGGAAGCTTTGTTTTGTTCAAAGGTGTGTAGTAACGATTTATATGCTGTTGATAAATTAAAATAACTTAAATAATGGTTACATTTATTGAGATGGAGGTATAATTATGCCAGTATGTGTTGGTCACAATGAATTTTACTTAAAGGGGGTGGGGAGTGGGTGGAGTGAATCTTGAAGAAAATAGATTAGTTGTCTGATGTATGGTTTTGGAATTATCCTTTAATTTCATATAATTATTGTACAAATTTATGAACCCCCTAAATTTTTTATTTCAAAGGTGAGGGGTAAAAATACCCACAATGAAAAATAGAAGTGGGAACACTGAAGGTTCATTTAAATTGGACCAAAAATGTTCTAAGATTTGACCTAGTGACTTAATTTTTGACCCCTCATGACCTAATTTCAAACATGTTCTAGATTTCATAGAGATGAACATTTACACTAGGTTTCATGAAGAATGGGCCAAAAATGTGGCCTCTAATGTGTTCACATTCTTTTTCTAAGATTTGACCCGGTGACATAGTTTTTGACCCCACATGACCCAGCTTTGAACTTTGCCGAGATTTCAGCCATACATTATAACCAAGTTTCATGAAGAAACAACAATTATAGCTCACCATGAACACAATTTAGCTACAAAAAGAACTGAAAAAAATTTCTTAAGCTGGGTTGCATGGTGTACTCACAATCTGGTGCACTCTCCTCAAGAGCCTGGTTCGGAGCAGGAGCCCGGATGGGAGCTTGAGCCGGGATAGGAGCTTGAGCCTTGATAGGAGCTTGAGCCTGGAAAGGAGCTTGAGCCTAGATAGCAGCTTGAGTCTGGATTTTTTAAAAACTAATAATTAAGTAGCACAACTTAACAAAGATTTCAAACATATATTTTGATAGATAAAACAATAGGTTGTTTTTAATTCTATTGGAACAAAAATGGTACTGAATTTTGTTTTTTGTTTTTGTTGAAAACACATAATTTTCTCAAAAATCTGCTAGTAGTCTATCAAACAAATCTTTCAATTATGGTGGGTAATCACATGATATGGAGACCACATGACATGGTATCGCAGCAATTGATAATCTTTCAGATTCAGGTGTCCACGTGAGAAATCTTTGTCAATATCTTTTGTTTAACAGAAAATATTTTGTTGAGAGCATGCAGAGTATGCGTAACTGACAGGACTTGCAGTAGCTATCAGTGACATTATAAATAATATTGTACTTTTTCAGGAGAATCCACCAATTTTAAGTTTAAAGGAACATAATGCTTTTGTGAGTAAAATTTCAATCATACTTGTCCTCTTATTGAAGAAAATGGCTCATTTCCGCATTACTTTTCGTCAGAAATTATTTTTATCCAAACATACCTCCAATTATTACATTTGCACTACATGGGCGCAATATATTTATCGCGTATTTTGAAGATTTTCTTTCATGTCTTTAATAAATCAAATGCAAATTTTTATGCCCCCCAC